TCACACTATGTTTTCCGCACACGGGATCCTTGGGATTACACTCTGATATGGTTTTATGATACTTTGTTTGATTAATGACACTTTAGTTTTTGATATGAGATATTATTATGAAAGTTTTTATATTAATCGCTTTTATGCAATAACTTAATTAAAAATAAAATTTTTGGCTTTGAATTTTGGGATGTTAAAAATTTATGTTTATGGTCCCTACTTCGATGGTGGTTGGTTCTAGACATTATTCCAAGCCATTGAAGGTGTTTGAGGGGCAATTTAACACCTTAAAAGGTGTTTAAGATCTATGAAGGAGTGTTTACGGTCCAAGAATGTTCTTGGGCTGTAAACTCATGTTTACTCCCCGAATGACAAGTTTTTGGTGTTCTGTACTCGTTCAAGCAAGTCCCTAAGTCATAACTAAGCACTAGAAGTGATTTGGAAGGGTTTTGGGGCTTCAAAACCCCATTTATGGGTGTTTATGGTTTTAGAGTTGTTCTATGGCTGTAAACACATAACTTTGAGGGTTTTGGATGATTTAAACACGAATTTGCATGCTAAACAAGCTAAACAACAAGCTAGGATAGATTACTTACAAGTTTGGAGCTTGAAAGAGGTGTTTTTGGATCAAAATCGGCTTTGTAGAGAGAGAGTAGAGAGAGAGTGTTATGAGGGTGGAAAAGCTTCAAATGGAGGTCCACTCACCCTTATATAGGGTTTGAGTTTGCGGCCCGGTGGAAATCTACCCGATACCGACGTCAAACGGAGCTTATGGTCGTACCCGATTAAATGTTCGTAACCCGACGTGGTCGTGAATTAAAAACTTTTAAAAAGAATATCGAGGGTGTTTCACGTGTCTCTAAAGCGTTTGGACACTCATGAAGTCATAATAAAAGTCTCAATTTAAATAACCTAATCCAAAATGTTAACGGAACAATTTGATAAAGACGAGTTTTATTGACGGAAACGGGTACAGTGACGGATAAATTTCAGGTTGTCACAAGATCCGAGACCAATCTATGATTTAATACTTATGACTCAACACGATGGTACCTGTAAGGTTGAGAAGAAAAAAGAGTGCAAAAATGCATGAAGTCCTAAGCTAGAATGACACAAAAAAGTATGAAAATTTGAAAGAAATAAAAAAATATGCAAAAATTTTGAAATTTTTATGAAATTTTTCGAAAGACCTAAATGAATTACTCGAAATGTAACTATATACAACCTAAATGCATTGAATAAAGAATAAGAATACCTCACCCCAAGCTTAAAATTAAACATTGTCCTCACATGTAGCAATAATGGTAAAAGGTAAAAATACCACGCCTAGAAATCCTGCTAACAAGTATGCAAGAAAATTTAGAAGGATACACGACAAAAGCATGAAAGAAATTTTTGTCATGAAAACTTGAAAAACGGAAAAATATGGAAATTTCACTCAAACTGGGCTAGTTTCGACCATAATGGTAAAAATGGGCTATTTTTGACAATTATGGTAACAATGGGTTATTCTTTACAACAATAGTAAAAATGGGCTAGTTTTGACAATTATGGTAAAATGCGCTATTTTTTACAACAATAGTATAAATGGGCTATTTTTGGCGATTATGGTAAAATTGGACTATTTTTTAATACAAAAGTTAAATGGGCTATTTTTTACTACAAAAGTAAAAACGAGCTATTTTTGTTAAACACTCCTAGTAAACTGTATAAATTACGACATGAATTATTGCGGTTTATAATTTGTAGTAAAAAATATACACTGCTAACATTATTTATAACGTTAAATAATGGAATTCAATATTCGCGTAAATTCCGTTAAGGCTCTTGTGAAACACTCCTTCACTCGTACCTACGTAGTGTACATCGTAAGTTCTGTAGTTATAACCAGCGTCTCCTGGAAGGATAGCGGGATATTGTGTATAGATCTATATGGGGTTGACACCCCCACACTTGAGCTGTTCGCTACAGTTAGACAGGCCAGTCTATGGTGACATTTATTTTTAGAAACCTACACTTGAAGAACGTCAAGACAGGCGCTTTAGTCACATTAGTATGGTTGTAACGACTCACCTAGAAAATAACAATATTATATTAAAATTTACGCAAAATATACACTCTACTCATTTTATAAAGCACAAAACTACGTGTCATCTATTTTGCAACTAATTTCACCACTCTAGTCTTAGGGTTCTAAAACCACAACTTTTCGTATAGTAGAAAATATAGGATTTTCTTGGAAACACACTCTATATATTTTAAAACAAGTTAAACAAAAAATACAGATGCAATTCTACATGATTTTAAAACGAGACTCACAAACTATTTTCACGAGAAAATATCGGATTTTCTGGAAGTTTACAAACTATTAAAAAGTTTCTTACAAACATGCTTATGAACTCACCAACATTATATGTTGATGCTTTTCAAAACGACTTCTATTCTCAGGGACTCAATAAGCAGGTTTGCAGCTATAAATTTTTGGGATAATTGTTGTACTTTTGAAATGTCATACATTGTGTTATTTTTTGGGATGTAATTTCATGAACAAACACAAAGTTGTAAACAATGCATGTTGGTATCTGAATGTATGATGTTTGGTTGCCTGTATCATTTATAATAAAATGTTATGATATTACGAGATGAAATCACCCATCCTCGGATGTTTCCACCGACCCGATTCAAGGGTGTGACAGTATAAGTCCTTGGAGGGTTTCCACGGCTTCCTGGTATGTTTATTTGTTTAGCTCGTATGATATTTCCATGATTATTGTAGACCGTGTGGAGATTCCTGCGGTAATTAGGCAAGACCACGTGGGGGTTCCAGTGGCGGCTAGTAAAGACCACGTGGGGTTTCTCGTGGCACTTGGTGTAAGACCTTGGAAGGTTTCCAAGGCATCCCTATATGTTTATATGCATGGATAATGTGATATATGTATCTTTATAGCTAATATGATATGTGTTATGTGGATTGTTTGTAGGGTATGCTCTGGGGAACTCACTAAGCATTAGCTTACAGTTTGTGGTTTTGTTTCAGGTACATCCGAGCCCAAGGATAAGGGCAAGGCTTGATGGCGCGGCGTACACTCTCTTAGACATTTTTATTGGACGCTCTGATGATTTGAAATAAAATTGTATTTGATATGAATTTTTGTGGAAAGTATTTTGGTTAATCAAAAATGAAAATTTTATTTTGAAAAATCGGGTCATTACAGTTTGAATCTTCTTTAGCTGCTCTCCTAGGTTTGCAATCATCTTCCATGAGAATCTTGTGCGTTCATACATTAGGGCTTATCCCATTTATGTTTGCTATTTTCCACCCCATGGCCTCATTGTGATCTTCTAAAACATTAACCAATTGGTCTTCTTCAAAATGTTTCAATTGAGAGGAGATGATCACCAGAAGAGCCTCGTCTTTACATAGGTAAAATTGCTTTAAGTGGCTAGGTAAGGCTTTAAACTCATGTGTGGGTGGGTGGATAATGGATGGGGTCATCTCGTTGGGAGAATGAGACAAGGCAAATTGAGAGACGTCTTTCTTTGTTAACTTGCTAACTTCCAAAGTGTTCGCAATCTCTTTAACTTCAGATGCGTATGTGTACATTTCCGACTTTTCCTTCAAACTCTCACAATCAAGGCTCATGTTGAGTACCAACTCCAAAATATACCCATGAGATAAATCAAACACTTCTTAGTAATTAGTTCTATCACATCAACCTAATACAATGGAGAAATGTAGCTAGCGTACTTCATTGCTTTAAAGATGTTGAATTCAATGGTCTCTCCATCAAATTCCATGGTGATCTTCCCTTTATGGAGATCAATTATCATGTGAGCACTATTCATGAAAGGTCTTCCAAGGAGAATCATAGATGATTTGGAAGGTGTCTTCTCTTCAAAATCAAAAACATAGAAATTGGCGAGAAAAACTTTTCAAATAACTAGGGTTTTAGAATTTAAAAAAAAAAATCAAAATTAAACTTTTAATCAAAATTTAATTTCCAAAACTTGAGAACAAGGTTTTTTTTGAAACTTTTCAAAACATTAGGGTTTAGAATTTAAATACTTCAAAATTAAACTTTCTAATTAAAATTTAAATTCCAAAACTTGAGGGCAAGTTTTGAAATATTTCAAAACTATCAAGATCAAAAAAATAAAATTAAAGCAATTAAACAATTAATTGGTGATTATCTAGTTTTTTACCTAATCCAATTTCATGCAAGATAATGATCAAATAATTCAAATAATTTAACATTTATCAAATAAGGTAACAATTATCTAATTAGATGACCAAAATCTTTTATTTTGACAAAGATAATCATAAGGAATCAATAAAATTTGTATTTTATTAATTTGAAACAATTATGGCAATTATCATAAGTCAAATAGGCAAAAAAAAATCCGAAAATTCATCTGTCTGACAGTCAGACTTGTCGAGTCACTCCCTGGACTCACCGAGTTGGGCTAACTCGCTGAGTCCAGATACTGACTCGCCAAGTCGGGTCGGGCAGAGGCCGGAAACTCGATTTTCAGCAGATAAACAAGCATCACATCACATGCAATAGAAACCAATCATGGATCTGATACCACTGATGGGTTTTAGCTATAAGAACATCCTATGTGCTCATGCGAACCCTAATGTTTGGATCTAGGTTTCTTTATTGTACATGCATTCATCCAAGACTTTAAACCCTAGATCTAGCATACAATAATGATATAAATTAGGGCTTAGATCATACCTTGATTGTTCTGTAGGAATAACAATCCCAAATCCTCCTTGTAATTGGTTTTAGAAAGCTTAAAGTCATAAGCTAAGTTGCACGGAAACGGATACGGCAACGGGAAACGGATACGGAACGGAAACGGGAAACGGCAAAACTCAAAAATTCAAGATACGGATACGGCACAGATACGGCAATATAAAAAATATGAAAAAACATATCTATATTAAAGAAATTCCAAAATATGTAAAGTTTAAATTCCCAAAAAACTAAATATTTCAAAAGTAACTAATTATCAATAATTAATTCATTTTCAAAATCGGGTTCATCTAGTGAGAGATCTGCAAACTCCAAAAACCCGACGTCTTCCATTGAATCAAAAGCATCTCCGCCCACATCCCACATCTTTACATCATCTTTCGGAGTCCTTGACAAAAGTCGGAGATTATTGTGGATGTAAACCAAGTCTTGAGCACGACTTGTAGTCAGCTTGTTCCTTTTAAGCGAGTGGATAAATGCATAAGTACTCCAATTACGCTCAGCACAAGAAGAAGAACTAGGTTGTCCAAGTAATCTAAAAGCCAAAGTTTGGAGAAAAGGAGTTTAAGCACCAAAGTTAACCCACCAATTCTTGGGTTCCATAGTAGCCATCTTTGAAATGCTTGTTAAATCTTCAAAAGGACCACTCTTCATTGAAAACATCGCATACTCATCAAGGACTCTGCCATACTCATCATCATTAGGAAACAACCTTCGAAAGCATTTCATCCTTTCTTGTGAAATTTCTCCATCCCTATGTGGAGCACATCTTGTAGAATCTTCCATTAACCATGCATCACTATAATATCTACAACCTCCAAAAGTTAAAAGATAAATATATAATACAAATCAAGTTTATAATTTAAAATCTTATACCTTGGATGTAAAGAGTGAGCTAAACAGTGTAAGGGGGTGTTATTCTTCTCCCATCGAGCCACTAAAATACGATGCACAACGTCGTAAAAACAACTTATTTGAGATGCAGGACGTTTTTCTTTCTTGTAGATCTCAATCTTCACTTTCTCAATCATAGAATCCCACATCTCATAGACCAAGTGTAAACATGGCTTGTCAGTGTCACAAGCTCTAATCATCTCATATATAGGTCCAGTGAAACTAAGAATATATGTTACTTTATCCCACCAATCATCATTCAAAATATATTCTTTCACAGAGTTTGCCTTCTCAGTGTCATCTAATCTATAAGAAGACCATTCTTCGCTTATGACCATAGCTTGAAGACCCCTTTTGATAAGTTTCAATCTCTTAAGCATCACAATGATGGAGGCAAAGCGAGTGTCAGCAACAGAAAGCAACCTAAGAGGAGTAAACTTGGTGAAAATCGAGAGCCTCATGTTATGGTTCATGATGAAATTTTTTATTGCAAACGCCTCTTCATGAACTTCTTTTATCCAGCGGCACTGTTCATATGTTAGTTCATTTGTTTCCACATTCCTTGGTGAACAAATGTTCTTCAAAGCAAGATTAAGTGTATGAACAACACATGGTGTCCAATAGATGTGAGGAAACTGACTCTCTATAATCTCTCCAGCCGCCTTACAATTTGCTGCATTGTCGGTAATGATTTGCACAACATTTTCATGACCAATTTCATTAATGACTTCCTTCATCAATTCAGCAATAAAAAATCTATCTTTCACTTCCCTAAAACAATTCACTGCCTTTAGAAACAAAGGACCATTGCCTGAGGTAGCCATGAAGTTGATTAGAGGTGTTCTTGTAGGATCACTCCAACCATCACTCACAATAGTCACACCCTTTTCTTTCCATGTTAACCTAAGTGGCTCCAATAGCTTGTGAACATTATCTTTTTCTTTTTGTAGTAATGTTGTTCTTAGCTTATTATAACCAGGAGGTACATAACCATCAATTTTGTTGTTAGCAGCAAACTGAAAAGCCCTTACATAGTGTGGATTTCTTGCAAGATTAAAAGGTAAACCTCCGGTATAAAACATTCTAGCTATTTCTTGATCCAGTTGGTCCCTAATTTCAACACCAAAAGCTCTTTCAATAGGTGTTGAAATACCTTTTCTTTTCTTAAATCCAACACCAGCTTCACATGGCAACTGAACTTCTTTTGCTTGTGACTCGGTTTTCTTCTTTTCATACTCATCTTCTAATCGTGTCATGTTAAGTTTGTCAGTTGTTGTTGCTTTCTTGCAAATAGAAATCCCGGTACCTATATTAAACAACATAAAAACATTGACATTCTCAATTACACAACACGAAAAAAAATAAGGTCATCAACTCATCATTAACATTATAAATTCAATTACATTACATTAATCAAAAGTTCAAAACAAGAAAGTGAATCAAAAACCTCTTATTTCTTTACCATTGTTCATGAATAAATAATTAAATAGTTATATTGAATAACATGAATCAAAAGTGCAACAAATACATGAATCAAAACAAAAATCACAGCCTCTTATTTCATTACAATCGTTAATGAATCAATAGTTCAATACGTCAACACAATAACACGAATCAAAAATTGCAAAAAATACATGAATCAAAACAAAAATCGCAGCCTCTAATTTTATTTATTTACAATTTTTCATGAATCAATACAACACGTAAATAACATAAATAAAAATTTGAAAATTACATAGACACGCACACACTAATTTGAATAATAGATTACCTTTTATGCCAAGCAAATGTGCTCTAACTCTAGAATATGATCCTTGTCGGGTTTCACTGCAAAGATTACACTTGAACTTCCAACATCCTCCTGATCCAGGAAGTTTATCGAGCTTAGTCACAAAGTCCCACAATGGAGGTTGATCAAATGATGTAGATGATCCTTGTGTTACTTGTTCTTGAGAAGAAGCCATACAATTTAGCGATTCACTGCCTTTTGAATTTATTTTTTCCTGTTCTTGTCTTATTGATCGACCACAAAAGAGGTAGCAGGCCAGCAGCAATCGGTGATTCGGTGAAGCACAGACAGCACTACAGCAGTTTGCAATAAGCAATTAAGCTTTGCAAAACAGCAAAACTTAATTTTATTAATCGGCACTTCGGCAGCAGTTTGCAAATTGCAATAAGCAATCAAGGGACGTAGGGTAATTAGTCTAATACGTAGGGTAATTGGCTAATTGCAATAAGCGGTCCGCCGATATTTCAATACTTCAAGCCCATTACTTCACCACGTACTAATTAATAAAAGCCCATGCAAAAAAAAAAAAAAAAAGGAAACGCTGATACTTGCGAGAAACGTTCACGATACTTGTGAGAAACGTTTCGTGTGTAGTCGATACTCGCCGAAAACGTTTCCCGGCCGTTTCTCAGGTGAATCCGTTTCCTGCACGTTTCGGATACGGGAGCGGCATCTGATGAGGCGTTTCTGTGCATCGTAGGTCATAAGTGTCACTCATCTAATGGTTCACAAACACCAAGAGCAAGAGGATGAAGAAGGAGAAGAGGAGAGGCACCCAAAAACTTCTAGAAACCCAAAGGAATCAGTTAGCCACGTTTTTGGTGCCCTAGGGATCCTTAAATATGTGAGGCTATTAGGGTTATCTAACAAGGAAACCCTAATTTGACTGCTTAGGCTCTAAATAACCCATGGACTCGCTCCTTAGAGGCCTTGGACGATTTCTAATGGGTTTCCTCATAGAATTCATCCACTCCATCCTCTATGGAGTCTATTAGCCCAATATTCAACTATCACACAATTGACAGTTCCAGTCCCCTTTATTTAATTAATATCTTTTAGCCACAAAATTAATTCTTAATTAATTATTGACTAATATTAATTAAACAATATGATTTCTCCTTTAATATATTATTCTCATAATATAATTAATAAATCATAATTAATCCGCTCTCTCCATAATTCATCCTATCAAGTTGCTCTGGTGAAGGCAACCCAAAAGGACCATGCACCATCAGGTCAAGTACATACCAAAATAGTTATGGACTTAGACACTAATCCAACAGTAGAAACATTAGTATTTTCAACATTAATACTACCTCCTTACACAAATCCATATTTAAGAAATGTTTCTATGTCCATCTCTTCTTTAGTCAAAGGCTTAGACTGATAATTATGATTAAAAGAAGGAGACACTTTATCATACCCTAAACCCTTTGACTGATTATCTTTGAATTTCGAATTATGTTCAATCATGGACGCAACTACTTCACTTGACACATCGAATTTTCTAAAATTAAAATATGCATTTTCAAATTTGTTTTTCAATGTGTCAAACTCAGCAGCTAACTCAACAAGTTGTTCAATCACAAATCTATAATTGGCACACTTATTGCTATATTCTTCCTAAAGTTTTCTAAAATCATTTGTTTTTGCTTCTAATTGAGCTTTTAGAGGTTTCTGTCCCTTCTTAAGTTGATAACCTTCATATTTTAGGTCCTCGTTCTCTCTACGTAATAATTCTATATGCTCAAGTAAATTTTTGACATTATCAATGCATGTTTGAGAATAGGAAGACCGACTTACCTCTTTCTTCTCAGGTTCTAGAGTAGAAGATACCATAAAGGCAAACTGAAACTCCATCATCTCTTCTTCAAGATCAACCTTAGCTTTCTCTTCTGGAGCATCATCAATTTGAGCAAAGTGAGCACTCTCAGGTCCTGAAATATTCAATGCATGAATCTGGTCCTCCCAGCCAAAAGATTGATCAACCACTGCCAGATTAGCAGTCTCACTGTTGATAGCAGCACTTCCACGCACTACTAGAAAAAACCCTTTAATGACGCGCAAACAATGACACGCGGTGATTTACGATACGCAAAAGCGTGTACCCTTAAAATAATGTCATCTCTTCTAAAATTTGAAGGATAAACGATACGCTTTTGTACGCGCCCTAGAATTAATGTCCAACAAAAAAAATTAAAAACACGGAGGGCACTTACTTAAAAATGGGCGTCATTTAGAAATGTCGCTTTATATTTTTTGAATGAAAGGCGCTTTCTCCTCTTTTGCAGCGGGGGGAAACGAAAATCCCAAAAGTTTGAAAGGCCGCCATTGTTCTTCTCTACCTTATTTCCATCGTTCTTTTTTTTCTCTCTCTCTCTCTCTTAGTCTCTCTCTCTCTCTAATACACAAAAAACCTTAATATCATCATCAATCCTCTTTTCTCCCACAACAAAATCGTAATATCACCAAATCTCTGATCCATTCTTTTGAACTGATCAAACCCGTAGGGGTTCTCGATTTCTCTATGTTGATGTGTGGTGACACGAACAAAAAAAAGAGTGTAGCGCCTCTACCTTTCAATTTCATTTGTCGGTTGCTTCAAATCGACTCTTGCTTTCTCTCTCATAGGGGTTTCTTTATGCGTTCCCTTCACCTCCGTTGATGTCATTTTCTGACTCACCCTCTGTTAATACTATCTATTAATAGCTTTAGTCGTCAGCTCCTGATGTGGGTTTCAATACTTCCATCTCAACTTTCTCTTCCATCTACAATATTTCTTTTCGACGATGAAGGTTTCTCATGATTTTTTTGTTGTACTTACAAGCCCTAGGTCTTGACGCGTGATCCGTGCGTATCTTGCACCTGATGCATCCCCTCTCCCAGTACCGATCAAGCTTCGGAATGATTGTTATCCCTCCACCTTCCCCTGCGAATACGTTCCCACCTCCCATAATGTCAAACTCCTAAAACTGCCTCCACGATTGATTGAAGTTTTTGTCGGTTAGTCTTGAACCGAAATCAGTTCCACGATTGATTGAAGTTTTTGGAGAAATCTCGGCAGTGAATTTCGTTGAATTCTAGTTCTGAAATATGAAGATTTTAGCTTCGAATCTTATGAAATGAGCTGACATTAATTGAAAATTTCCAGCAAAGTATGGATCTAAATAAGAAGCGAACCAAAACCTTGAAGGGGAAACCGAGGTTTTCAGATTTCAATTTAGTACCGGATGATTGGGGAGCTGATGTTCATCCATGGTTGAGTGTTCTCGCCAAAGCGTATCCATTCCTGGAGGAGTTGCGACTGAAGAGAATGACAGTTTGCTACTCATTGCAGGTAAAATTTCTACTTATATTCTCGATGTTAGAGCTAAATATGTTCTCCAAGGTGCATCAATCACTTTATCTGTTCAACAATTCATATGAATTTGTCAAATTAGGTTGATATTTTAGCTAAATATGTTCTTGATTTATCTTTTGACCAAAATTTCTAAAATCTTGATGAAACTTTTTGTAGATATTTGAGTTGAGTTCAACAGAAGGGCCAGAAGTTGGTCTTTATCTATTCAGAAGAGTAGCTCATTCCAAAATTCTTGTATGTGGAGGAGATGGGACAGCAGGGTGGGTATTGGATGCAATTGAGAAGCAAAGTTACGTTTCACCCCCTCCTATAGCCATTCTAACTGTTGGAACTGGGAGTGACTTGGCTAGGGTTTTGAATTGGGGTGGTGGTTTAGGGTCTGTATAGAAACAAGGAGGACTTTGTATGATGTTGCAACACATGGAGCATGCTGCAGTTACTGTTCTTGATAGGTGGAAAATTTCTATTGCTAATCATAGGGGTCGACCTCTTCGTGCCCCAAAATTTATGAATAATTATCTTGGTACGCATAATTGCTTTCATTTGTACGCTTAATTGCTTTCATTTATTGTCTTGTTGCATTTATTCATTAGGTTATTGTGAAAATTGTTCCTGTAAAACGTGGTCACAAGCTGAGAATCACATGGCCAATGACACATGGCATTGATCATTACATGGAAGGGCCAAGTAGGTATCTTGGACACTTAATTGGTCATGAAGGAGAAGGATCCCTCTTCTATGTCTTGAAGAAATTGGGTTGGGCAACAAGCTTGTCTACTGGTGAATCAAACTAGACTGTGGAGTTCTCTTTCTTTAAAGTGGTTATTGAATTAAATGATGTTGGACATGGTTAGTGTTTCCAGTCTTCTGTTTCTCTCTGTGTGTGTGTTCATTTCTTTCATGATTATTTAGATACTGACATCATTTGTAATATATGTTTCATGAAAACACCAGCAAATGCTGAACATATAATTAGGCTCCTTTTCAAATACATTACACTCTTGCAGTGATATGGTGTTTGCAAGTGGATCTATGATGAGGTACCTGAAAATACTAGAAAATATTATCATATCATGTTCATACTCTTTTTTTTTTAAAATAAAATCAAATGATGTTATTTTGTTATATGATCCATATAGCTTTCTGCAATCTGTGAGATGACTTTCCATTATCAGGACAAGATTCCTCTAATTGATTATGTTGTGAAATTTTCATCAAATATGCAGGTATTTGCACTTTTTATCATATTTTTGCTTTACTTATTTGAATAATCATTTTGATTTTGAACAACATTGCAGTTATACCCTTCAAAAGATTGGCTAGTTGGATCATCTTTACCTTCCACTTTTTCCCCCTGAAGTTATTCAGTCTGCACTAAGTGAGATCACACCAAACAATGTAAGGTAGCGTATCATCTATCAATGAGTTTGTTAGTGCTGGCTAAATTTATATGATTTCTCAGTATGCCCTTCTGGTTCCAGAAACATTTGGGAGTCAACAAACTTTGATGGACATACTGAGCTAATAGAGCCATGGTATGGAACTGCATTTTCTGTTGAAAAAATCACTGGCTCCACCATTTAGGTATTACTTTTGACTTTTCTTTACATGTGTTTGACTTTGTAATCAGAATTATTTATAATAGCACATGTGTAAATAAATTACAGGAATGGATGAAAAGAGCTCCTGAAGAAGACCTACATTTGCCCTGTTAAAATCCCTAAGTTTATAATGTTCTTGAACATTTTATGCAACATCTAATCATTGTGTGGCATTGGATATTGATATGTCGATGGACGTTGCTACACATGGGGACGAAAAGACGTGAGTTCATATCATTTCTTCGATCAATTATTTACAGATTTGATCCTCCTGCATCACATGATATATATATATAGTTGAACATTGTTACTCAAATGTTTTTTTTAATTATATGTTTGCAAAATAAATAAAGAGGAATTCACTACCTTTTATGCCCGGTTCTTCTTTGATCGGAATTGAGTAAGCTTGTCCCTCCATTGTGCTGTGTGAAAAACAACACTTAATGGGTTAAGCACTTGATCTGGAGGAAATGACTTAATGGGTTAAGACAAAAAGTAAGAAAAAAATACCAACATCTCTATAACGTTCTTCAACAGCAGTAATAAGCATGTTTCTTACAAGATTAAACTCCTTGGTTTCAATACAAGGCTGTCCACTTGGTCTGTATAATTTAAAAAAAAAGTTTGTTTATATAATTAAAAAAAAAGATGAAATATGGGTGTGTTTAACTGTTTATAGTTTATACCGATCAAGTTCTTTAAAAATTAAACCATTTGGAGAACCCTCGAATGA